TGTCAGAGGCCTAACTGGAAACTAGGTCTTTCTGTTTCCAAAGGCTGTTCATTCTACCACACTTCCTCTGGTACAGTAAAGTATAAAACATTCTGTTTACAACGCCTCACCTATTCTAAAATAAGCACGTGTATCACAACATTCCCTTAGAGGCAGATGTAGATACTAAAGACAAGAAAAAAGCGTGATTCAGCTAATATGAATCCAAATCCAATATTTCTATGTTTCTTTACTGTTTATTAGTTCTTTGCCCCCAGTGTCCCTTTGGGAGTAGGAAATGCAAGTGTTTTTACACCTTTTTGAAAAAGACCAGTGATTACTGAGGATGGTGTAATCCCTCCAGAGCATTGTTTCTCATTAACTTCTGGGGGTGGGGGAGGGAGGATAATTAATCAATCCTTTCAAAAGGATTACAAATGTCAAGCCATCCGTACCTTGCTGTCTTACGGCTGAGTTTTTAGTCTCCAAGTCACATGCTTTTTAATTATATTAATAATGAGCATTGCTGCATCCCACTGCATCCCACTTTGAAAAGACACTTTCACATTTAGTATCTAATTGGATTCCCACAATGACTTTGGATGATAGGTAGAATTATTGCAATTTAATGGATGAAGAGCTTGAAGCTCAGAATATTCTGTGATTTGCTCAAGGAAACACAGCTAACAAGGGAAAGAGGAAAGACTCGAACCCAGGCCTTCTGAATGTAAGCCCTGTGTGCTTTTCATTGTGCTTTGCTTTTGCGTTTTTTTCCTTCATTCTGGAAGAGGACCATGACATCAGGGAGGTGATGCCATGATGTACAAGTGAATTGGATTTAAGGGAAGGAGGGCTGTGCAAAATCACCAGCCTCACTTTCTCCTCCAGAGCCAGCTGGGACCAGCGGCCAGAAAGGGATCAGGACAACTGGAGATGACGCAGGATGCATGGAGGTACCTTGACCTCTTCAAGCTCAGGGCTTCAATAGGTCTTAGTTTGACTTAGGCATTGTGCTACATTGCCTCCAGTAAGAATTCACCAACAGATGTGGAAGGAGATTGAGAGCAAATATATGGTTACTGAACTATTTTGTCAAAATATGTATCATGCAATTTAAAATAAGTACATAATTTTAGGCTTTTATTTAGAGGTTTACTCTGTCTTTGATTTGATTATTTGTTTACTGGCATTTGTTGAGTGTTAATTTTATAACAACAACAATAACAATAGTACTTTCCTGGCATGGTAAATAAGGAATTGAGGGTTAGCTCGGTGGCCCAGTGGATAGAGCACTGGCCTAGGAGTCCAGTGGTCCTGAGATCAAATCCAGCCTTAGACACATAACACTCTCTAGCTTGTGTGACTCTGGACAAGTCACTTAAGCCCAATTGCCTCACCAAAATAACCTAAATAAGGAATTGAGTATGGAGGTGGGAAGACCTGGTTTCAAGTTGTACCTTTGATACTAGCTTCATGACCCTGGGAAAATCAGTTAATCTTTATGTGGTTCAGGCTATTTTCCAGTACTTATCTTTTAAATCAAAGACTGTTTTGATGTAAGGAGTTTTCACCCTGGGACTTCCCTGCCTCCCTTCTCCCCAGGCAGAACTGAGCTGAAGGCAAAGCTAGGATGCGCTGGTCTGTTTTCCTTATTATCGTTTGGGATGAATCACGCAGTGATCACTGTAGTGGAGTGAATGGAGAGCTGGACTGGTCTCCAACACCTGTTGGCTCTGTGACCCTGGATTATTTACTTAGGCTCTCAGTCTTCTAGCCAGCTTTCTAAGCCTAAAAATTGCAGAGATGGTGTAGACCTGCATTAGTAGAGAAAGTTCCTTATTAACAGTGAAGTCACTGGTCCAGTTCCTGTCTCTATCCTTGTCCCTGTCCCTTGCAGGGGTCAGTCCAGCAATCTGTGATGAGCATAGAACTGGAAAAAAAATTTGCATATGTACATAATAATAAAAAAGAATTTGTACCAAGAGAATTGCAAAAAAGAACAGAAATGATAATAATAGTAATAATGATGATTGTAAGAATAGACACACCAGGTCTCCTAATTCTACAGTATTTGATGCTTTTTTGCTAAATGCCTATATTTGTACAGTGCTGTTTGTCTCACTGACTTCAACCCACTGCCAGATTTCCCTGCCTCTAATATTTGAAAACCTGAAGAGAGAAAGGGGGCTTTGAGAGTAAAAGCCATTTTCCATTTTTAGGTAAACTGTGACTTTTACTATATTACTCTGAGTTGGCTTTTTTTTTTAAGGAGGCCGGGGTGGAGGTGAGTGGGTAACAAGACTTATCATCTTCCCTTGTGGGGTGTTCCAGACATTTTGGGGCCCTGTAACATACAGTTGAAAGCACATTTTGTCAGGAGAGGGTAGATATTAACAGGTCTCACCTTTTCAAAGAGAAACTCACTGCCTTAAAACAAAGAAGGGCTCCTCTGAGAAACGGAGAGCAAGCCGTAGAATGTGTGCAGATGAATTTTGTTCTTGACTGTGAGGAGCTCTTAGAATCATGTATCAGGCAGCTTAATGCATCATGCTTGACCTTGTCATTTTAATCCAACTGCAAATAAAAAACAAATGGCTTTAAAAAAATATGGCCATGACATCTTACAACAAGTATTTTAATAAATTAAATTAAATATAATGAACAACTTCTTCCTGTTTTGACTACTGTCAGCATGGGGGGGAGAGGGAGAGCATTCCATGGAATTGTTTTAATTACCTTATTGGTATCCAGCGTGACATCTGGTGGCATTGGTGAGCTCACCTGAAGGGCCACAAAGAGCCTTGATTTATGGACCCATAATTGGGTTTCCAATAAACATTTGTCAAAATAATGTATTAGTTCAAACCAAAGCCTTCTTTATTTATTCATATAAAAGAGCACTTAACTTTCAACAAAGAATTGCCTACCATCAAAAACACTCCATAAAAAGATCAAATTTATGAAGACACCGTACCAGAGGGTGACCGCTTAAAGACTGAAGTTCACTTTAACCCTTTAGAAGTAAGGGTTCCTGACTCATCTCTTACTACCCTTTTTTTAGATTCCAATTTCAAGCAAATTATGCTAGTTTTCTGGGTGGGTCTAATAACATTTAAAAAGCTATTCCGTCCTTTAATGATGGTAGGAAAGCTTTAGAATACTCCACACTATCCTAACTTTTTCAAATACTGGTATTTTTACTCCTTTCCACATTCACTTAAAACAAACAAATAGCTCTTGTCCCCAACTACTTGAGAAATGCTGGTTTTTCACATAGTGATAATGACACTGACACCGAAATTTAGAACAGACCTGCATTTTTAATCTTCTGTTTATTTCACTGGTTTGCTCACAAATTTGAATTTTTTCTTGTTGAAAATGCCATACTGTGGTTGATGATAGGATATATATTTTGAATATTTAATGCTCTCTCTATCTCTAAGCCCACCAACATGCTTAATTTAAATTGGCATGTTTCATACTCAGTGATGTCAGTTGTTCAGCCAGAATCATGATGTGTACAAGAAGATAATAACGTGTGGACAAATTTGAGAAAAACCCAGTCTTCCAGGATGACTAATAATTCTGTTGGCATTTTTAGAAAGGCTGTTTTTTTTTTTAAAAAAGAAACATTGCCTTTTGAAGAAGGAAAGGGGAAAGATATACCGATTTTTTAGTTAACTTCTAGACGAAAATAGGGACAAAGACCATTGAAATTGTTAGTTTTTTAAAAAGAATTTATTTTTTTAGTTAAGTTTCAGTTTCAAAAAAATCTTTGGGTCAGAAGAAGTGAGAGTACATTTGATTGCACTGGCCAATCCCATAGTTGTTGTAGTATGGGGAAGAGGCTCCTATACTTGATTTCTTTAGGGATATATAGAGACATGGGGCTCCTGACTGCTTCCCGGGTGGGAGTGAGGAGGAACAGAGATAACTTTGGCCTAATTACCACAATACTAAATAAATCAATCCAGTCTTAAGCTCTCCACAAAGAACACTAATGGGCATCCCTTCCTATAGAGCTAGGAAATGTACTCAACACTCATTGAAGAGAAATGTGGGCTTAACACACCATCTACCCACATGAAGCCATGAAGATTCTTACTTGGGCTTCATATTCCTAGGGAATCTGTCTTCGAAGTCTTTGCAACTAGAAACCATGCATCAAGGTGGCTTGGTGTATCTCAGTGTCAGAACTCTTGTTTTAGGGTTTTGGAAGATTGGGATTAAGGTCAAAAAGCAAGTATGGCTAGGGTTCCTTGTTTTTAGCTTCTGGAATGGTAATACAGGATTGTCAAAGTGTCCTTAAGTGCCCTTAAGTAGTCCAAGGACCATAGCATTATAGATTTTGAGCTGGAAGGAAGCAGAGTCGTGTGTGTGGGACAGTGACCAGCAAGATCAAGAGTTTGGAGTCTGAATCAGAGATCAGAAAAGGTCTTTATTCCTTCTCATGAGAAAGGGCACAGCCCTTATCGCTCAAGCAGCGGCAGCCAGGGAGTGCACCTGCAGGCTGTGAGAAGCAAAGTTTTATAGCCCTAACGTATGCCACCTCCCAGTCTCTTACCTCTTTCCCCTACTGTCTGGGTACTCATGACGTACAATCTAAATGCGGCTACTAATACCCAATAGAAGCAAACATACCCATATTTGGGAACTAGATGTATGCGTGTGCCAGGAAGCGGGAGCAACCAGAAACTGCCTGTGCTGACGCAGATTTTTGAGAAAGAGGAAATTCAACTCAGGGCTTTCTAGAAAAGTAAAACTTAGGCCTGAGGGAACTGTACTTTAGGCCATCTCTCACATGTGGCTCTTTTTTTCTTGGCAAAGATACTGCAGTACTGTGCCATTTCCTTCTCCAGCTCATTTTACCTATGAGGAAACTGAGACAAAAAGGGTTAAGTGACTTGCCCTAGGCCACACAGCTAGCATCTAAGGCTAGATTTGAACTCAAGACAAGTCTTCCTGACTCTAGGCCTGGTGCTCTATCCACTGTACTATCTGCCTGCCCAAGGAACCTTAGGAAGAAAGCCATTAAATCCAACTTCCTCAGCTTACGGATAAAATGAGTATCAGAGAATTTAAGTGATTTACCCAAGGTCACACAGCTGGTAAGTAACTGAGATGAGTTTTGAATCTAGGTTTTCAGGTCTCCAACTCTAGAACCTATTCAAATCTCCTTGTTGCCTCCTGGGACTTCCATTGCCTTATCTGTAAAATGAGGTGATTGAAACTGATGGCCTCAGGGTTCACTTCCAGTTCTAAATCTATGATCCTACTTATATTTTTATTGGTACTTCTTTCATAAGAATAAAGGATCTGCATATTATTTTTAGACTTCTGTCTGATCTCTTGGTCTATTCCTCCTTATGTTTTAGAAACTGGAAGATTTAATAATGGCTCAAACTTATATAATTTTTTTTAGATTTATGAAGTGCTTTATATTTGATTTTTTTTTTTTTTGGTGAGGCAGTTGGGGTTAAGTGACTTGCCTGGGGATCACACAGCTAGTAAGTGTCAAAGGCCGGATTTGAACTCAGGTCCTCCTGACTCCAAGGCCAGAGCTTTACCCACTGTGCCATCCAGCTGCCCTCAATTTTATTTGATTCTTACAACAACCCTGTAAAGTATATGCTATTATTATCTATGTTTAACAGTTGGGGAAACTGAGGCAGAGAGAGTTTTTTTTTTTTTTTTTAATCCTTGCCCTGGGTACCAGCTGGTATGTGTCTGAGGTGAGATCTGAGCACAAGTCTTCCTGACTTTGAAATCTAGCACTCCATCTTCTGTACTAACTTTTCTGAAGAAAAAAAATTTTTGATATCTGCTTTTTTTCTTTTTGTCTTCTAGCTGTTATAAGGTATGGATATGGGTCAACTTTTTGAATTACAAATCTGGACAGTAGTAGATTAAGTTCAAGAAGAATAATCAGAGCTCGTATTTAGAGTGAACTTCTGACCAATTTGCCTCACTCTTTCTCTAACATTTCCCAATCTTTAGAGTCCATCTGGTCTGTAAAATGGATTTACTGGGTTCCTGAAAATAGCAGCATAGGCCGATGAGAAATGTTGCATGTGCCTAGTGATCAGGGGACAGCCTGCACAATTTGGGGTTGAAAGGATTGGTGGAAACAGCTGAACTTTTAATTCTCGACTTGCACATTCTAATGACTTTATTCATCCAACCCCCAGAAGGCCCAGGATAGAACTCCTGTCCCCTGCCCCAAAGCTCTGGGACCTGGCTCTGGATATTTCCTTAGGCGTCACAGAGGAGATAATCCAACTCAGCTTTAGTATGACTCTTTGGAACTTGGCAAAAACAGAGCTATAAACAGGTGCCATAAAGGTCTTCACAAGAAAAATACCCCACACATATTGAAAGCATTAATACAAATTCCTTTCTGAGAAAGTTTCTAGCAAGACTATTCCTGAAGGACATTCTGGCAGACAACAAAAAATATTTATTTAACTGAATGCCCACTCTGCGCAGAATAGAATGTCAGGCAGTGGTGAGATGTAAGAGAGGGTTAAGGGGAGCTGCTTCTGTTTCAAAGAGTCAGCTGACAATTTAGTTTGGGGGGATATAAATCATCAGTATGGTGAATGAGGGCCGTTTCTGCTCTTCAGAGAGGGGTACTGGGCTAGAATTCTATTGATATTCCTTAACTATAGTTAGTCTAGGGGATGTGATTTTAAGGTTCCTCTCCCTACCTCCCTCATCTCTTACCTTTCACCCCTCACATAGGCTTCGGCATTCATCTCCACCAGTGAAGAAGGTATTCCATATAAATGAGCTTCAGGGCTTGAGTTACATTAGCAATAAGAATTATTTAAAATAGGTAGCTACCAGATGGTCTGATTTCTTCTCATCCCTTCCCTAGCCAAAAACTTGAGTAGTTATTCCCAATTTTGCCCCACTCTCCTCTGAAGTGGCCATGGGCGTGGTTTGTGTTACTGAGGTACAAAATTGTCTAGTTATGTTTCTGTGACTAGATGCTAAATAAATGCCACGAACTACAGAGATTCAGAGAAGGGCAGTCCAGTGCACTTGGAAAGTCACTTTTTATTTCATTCTTTTTGAAGATAGTGAAGACCACAATGATTAAGTATACACTCACATACACACACACACACACACACACACACACACACACACCCATTACAGCAGAGAATATGACTTCTCTAAATCTTGTATCATCACCCTGGCACCTGTTGTTGTTGGGTCATTTGAGTTGTGTCTGACTCTTCATGACCCCATTTGGGGTTTTCTTTTGCAAAGCTACTGGAGTGGTTTGCCATTTCCTTCTCCAACTCATTTTGCAGATGAGGAAACTGAGGCAAATGGGGTTAAGTGACTTGCCCAGGGTGACATAGCCAGTAAGTGTCTGATGCTAGATTTAAACTTAGGAAAATGAGTCTTCCTGACTCCGGGCCCCAGTGCTTTGCACACTGTGGTACCACCTAGCTGCCCAGATGAATAAATACTATACCAGGCCCCTTCCTATCTTTCTAGTCTTCTAACACATTATCCTATTCCACAAACTCTGTGGTTCAGCCATCCCGGACTATGTTGTTTTTTACCCTTCCCATTACTGTGTCTTTGTCCCCAATGCCTGAGAAATGTTTTCCTTCTCCTAACTCTTAGAATCTCTGGCTTCCTTTAAGACTCAGGTCAAAATTTACCTCTTTCAGGAGTCCCTGAAAATCCCTCTACCTATTTCCCAGTCCTTGCTAGTGTCTTCCCCTTTAAGGCTATCTTACATCTACTCTAATAGTCTTGTCTATATTGATTTATAGGCAGCTAAGTGGCACAGTGGATAGAGTACCAGGCCTGGAGTCAGGAACACTTATCTTTCTGAGTTCAAATCAGACCTTGGACACTTACTAACTGTGTGACCATGGGCAAGTCACTTAACCCTGTTTGCCTCAGTTTCTTTATATGTAAAATGAGCTAGAGAAAAAATGGCTGATTACTCTAGTATCTTTGCCAAGAAAACCCCAAATAGGGTCACAAAGAGTTGGACACAACTGAACAACATACTGATTTATATATCAGAGGATCATAGATTTAGAGCTAGAAGGGACCCAAAGGCCCTTTGTTTTACAGATAAGGAAACTGAGACCCTGAGAGGTTAAGTCACTCACCTAAGGCCTTCTTCATTATGTTGTCTTCTTCATTAAAACATGTCTTTCTTGTCACAGTGCTTAGGCACATAGGCAGCTATGCAGCAAAGTGAGTAGATTGTTAGACCTGAAGTCAGGAAGACCAGAGTTCAAATTCTATCCAAGTCACTTATTAGCCCTGTGGCCCTGGGCAAATCATTTAACTTCTCTCTCAGCCTCAGTTTCCTCATTTGTAAAATGGAGATAATAATGATCCCCTATTTCACGGGGTGATTTTTGAGGAAATAAAGAGTTAATATATGTAAATTGCCTTGCAAACCTTAAAGTATTGCTTAAATATTAGCTATTATTAATAAATGCTTATTTATTGATCCTGATTATGTGTCTTCCTTACCTCGCCCCTATCCTGTAGCCCACTATTCTTACTGAAATAGATGTGAAACAGTGGGAATGGACAAGACCAGGGAAAGAAGTCTGGGGTTGCTGAGAGGTTAAAAGCACTGGTGTAATGCAGAACATTATTTTACCATTTGGGTAGTAGAACCCTTTAGGCCATGGAAAACTCCAGATTCCTTAGCAAGACCCTTATCTGGCTGCTCAGGCTCCAGCCCTCAGATCATGTGTCTGGAAACCTCCAAATTCCTTAGCAAGACCCTTATCTGGCTGCTCAGGCCACAGCCCTCAGATCATATCTCTGGAAGCCTCCATTGTGAGAAAGTTTGCAGAGCATTATCATATCTACACAGAGGGAGAAGGGTGTCCTTGACCAGCCTCCCCCCAAAAAAAAACCTCTTCCTCTTGCCAGACTTCAAAGATCCATCCCCCTCCCTGTCCTGTATACTCCCTATATAAACCCTAGCTCAACCCCCTGATGGGGGCTGCTTGATTTGGATGTGAATATCCCTGGCAGCCGCACGCTAATAAAGTCCACAATTTAAAATTAGCTTGGGTCGTCAACTCGCTCATTTCTCGGTATAACACTGGGAACAAAGAATGAGGATAAAGATGTTTGTCATGCCATCTTCATGAAACATCAGATGGGTTATTTTCTGTTAAAGAGATTGAAAAACACATCCTGAAGAAGAAAGGGACTAGGATGATGAAGGCTCAGTTGAAAGAATTAGGGTAGTTTAATCTGGAAAAGGCAAGACGAAGCAGACTTGATAGTGATCTTCAAATCTTTTAGGGGTTGTCATCTGAAAGAAAAGTTAGATTAATTCTGTTTGGTTCCAGAGACTAGAACTAGGAGGGAGAGGTGAAAAGAGGAAAATTTTGACTTGGTGTCAGGGAAAAATTCTAGGCAAATTAGAGCTGTCTCAAAGGGGAATGGACTGCTTTGAAAGGTAGGGAGAGGGGCTCCCCTCTCCAGAGATTTTCAAAGATAGGCCCAATTATTCATTGCTGCTATCATTTGCAGGCATTCTGTTTGGGATGTGGCTTGTACTAGATGGCTGCTAAAGTCTTTTCCAACTCTGAGGTTTTTTGAAGAGAGATTTTATGAAAAGATGAGGTCGTGATAATCTTTGTCTGACTTCTGGGATTGGTTTCAAGCGTTAACCTTTTACTTACTCAATGTGTCTATTCTTGATTTTATAACAATGGATAAAGTTTTAAAAAATTGTCTTTGCTTGTTTGTTTAAAAGTTTAAGTGATTTGAATGTAAGGGGTGAAAGAAACTGATTTGGTTTGAATGAGAGTTTTCCTTATGCTCTTCTCTGAGATGCATTGGCTTTATGGGAAAGAAATCAGTTTTTGAAAAAGTAAAAGTATGTGTGTAGGAGTGTGTGTGTGTGTGTGTGTGTGTGTGTGTATGAAATGTGGTTGTCCTTGGGACTGTTGCATTTTTCCTTTTACTTTGTGAAAACTCCATTGTCGTAATGATTACTGACCTCATAGAAATGTGTTTTGACTATTTTCCTTATAAACAGGTCTGACCAATAGCTATGGTGAGAAGTAAGCAGTTCATGAATGTCATGGGATTTTTACAT